AATTGTTTCCCTATGTACATAAATATATGAAGATCAGCCTATGGATGTGTTTAGTTTTGAAGATTAAATGTTATGTAGTACAATACCTTGTATTTGGGAATTTTTGGGTTATGTATTTTGTACTTTAGTTTCTTGTACAATTTTTGGGTTATGTATTTTGTACTTTAGTTTCTTGTACTACGGACCTAAGTGGGATAATACATGTATTTCTTTGAATGAATTATGTGTTATACGCAATGTGAAATGTGGGGTGTTACATGCTAAACCTCAAAGTAAGCAAAAATCGAAAGAACAATGTTAAATTGTAAAATTCATAATTATATATTATTGTATATTGCAAAGAATAAGTGTCCAATAATTAAGACAATATCACAATATTTTGTTAATGTTGTGCAGCATGCTCCAGCTATATTGATACAATGATGTGCCAATGTGCGTTGGAAATTTCAATTCTCATATATTTCAATATGCAGGAGGAATGACAAAAGTCTCTTAGGCTTAGCCTAGTAGGTCAGTAACCCACACGACCACACATGACACAACTTTATGATAATCAGTTAGAAATTTAGATTTTTTTTTGGAAAAAGATTTAAAGATTCTTAAAACCATAATATGACTCACACAGAAACTAAGTACAATCAACAGTAGAAATCAATCGTTCGAGATTTTCMTCTTTGATTTCTTGAATCTAATTTCATGACCTTTAATTGGCTGGAAACGAAACTCAATGCCTTCAAAATCGAAATAGTCGAACTTTGAAGAACAATATAAATTAGATCGTGTTCACTACAAGAAAAATGACCTTCAGAGAAGGTATTGTTTTGTACTTAAAAGTCTTAAAAGCTTCTCTAAAGCCTTTAGATAAAATTTTCAATTTTGTCAAAGAGCTTCTCTATGTAACGGTAGGTGAAGGTTTTAGAGAGGGTTTTTGGAGGGTGTGTTTTTGTTAGTCTTTAGAGACTCTTAATTGAAGCTTTAGATACACGTCTAAAACTTCTCTAAATGTTAGTTAACTTTTTACTCAAAGCCTCTCTAAAAGTATATATATCAGTGACGCTTTTAAAGCATTTGTGACGGTGTATAAGAGTTACTAAAAAATACTTTTAGAGAAGGTAATGGAAAAGCTTCTCTAAAGATATTGGCTTTAATGACGTTTTTAAAGCATTTGTGACGGTTTATAAGAGTTACTAAAAAAATATTTTTAGAGAAGGTAATGGAAAAGTTTCTCTAAAGATATTGGCTTTAGTGACACTTTTAACAAATCTTCTCTAAAAGTTCTCGTTAGTTACACTTACAAAATCTTCTCTAAATATGATATTTATATACACAAACTCAAAATCTTCTCTAAAAATTATCTTTAGTTACACTTTTAAAAAATCAATTCCTTCTCTAAAAA